CAAGCTGCCCACCTACCGCCACGTGTCGGCTGCACTCGCCCTGCGGCAGGTGTGACGTGCTCCTGCGCAATGCTGCCGCCGCTACAAGTTCCTCAAGAGCAAGGTGCGCAAGGCCAGCAGTCAGCCGCCCGGGCCCTTCAATGTGCAGATCCGCGAGCTCATGGGGCTGGTGGGCAAGGACCAGCAGGACAGGCGCGCCCGCCGCCGCCCCGTGCCCTCCATGCCCGTGCCGGTTCTGGAAGAGCCAGGTAGGCAGGGGAGGGGAAGGGACAGCAGGGTGGGGGGGAGGGGGGAAGGGCAATCGGGGTGGGAGGCTGGAAGGGGCGGCCGGGGCTGGAGGGTCAGAAGCCAGCGGGCGGGCGGCAGAGCCCCCGCCCCCGCTGACCCCATGCTCCCTCCAGCAGGTGCCGTGCCGCCCTGGGCCCCCGCCAACCTCTTGCCACCCACCGCCACACCATCGCTGAATGCTGCTCTGCTGCAGATGCTGACACACCTGGGCGACATCGTGAGCATCCTGGGCCCGCTGCGAGACCAGCTGCTGACCCGGAACCAGCATGTGGAGCAGCTACGTGGTTCCTTTGACCAGACTGTGTCCCTGGCCGTGGGCTTCATTTTGGGCAGCGTGGCCACCCAGCGAGGCATCCTGGGCGAGCCTAGCTAGCCACCCCCGCCACCCCCCTCCAGCAGTCAAGAAACCCTTTTGGATTAATAAATAATAAAGTTCCTAGCACCTTTATCTGGGTTTTGTGAAGTCTCTTTTGGATCCAGGATATAATAGATGTAGGCCCAAGTGAGATCCAGGACCCCGGGCCTTGAGCTCAGGGACTTTGGACTGGTGTCAGAAGAGCCAATCCCTAGGGGAGGGCTGTGGAGAGAAGTTCCTAGCAGGAACTTAGAACTCAAAAGCCTCTAGAGGTAAGTTGAACAGCCTGGCCAGGTATAGTGGAAGGGGCAGAAGGGGAGGTGGGATGCAGCAGAACTCCCAGCCACGGAGGAGTTTGGGATGCGCCTCTCCCCAGTGGAGGCACTCTCTGCCAGGTAGATTGGACCACCCTTAATGTAAAATGGCTGCAGGAGAGCTCCTCTAAACTAACACCTCTCTTCTAGGTTCAGAGAATTATTTTGGGGCTCTCAGTCACTGAAATCAGGTCCCCTAAATGCCAGAGCTCACCATTCTCTGAAAAGTAAAAACCCAGACAATTATTCAAGTTATTAGAATCTGTTCTTTTTGTTCATTTGGACATCTCTGGGGGAATAAAAGTTCCAGCTTTGTCTGCGCCTGGTCATAGACCTGCTCTGTTTTGTCTGTGTTGCAGCAGTCAAGAGGTGGGCATGGAAGGTCAGAAGCCCTTACAAGCTTCAGGCTGCATTTTACTGCAGAGGCAGTCGGAGGTGAGGGCATAGACAGTTTGAGCCTAGTTTGGACATTTGGCTTGTCCGAACAGTTAAAAATATTGTAAAATGCTCTTCTCTAAAAAGAAATTTGGATAAAAGATAGGCCAGTTCAGTTTCAGGTGACTCCCACCTAGCCTTCCTCCAGCTGAAGGTATTCACAAGGCCAACTGGTAAAGTTCATTGCTAAAAAAGCAAGCCCTGGGTAAATGAAGCTCAGCAAAGGCACTTTGTTTTACAAATCTTAAATCTTTAGATCAAGATTCTGGACTGATTTTCATTTTTGTGCACTTTAAGTTTTGTATGAGTATGTTGGAACATGTTCAAGATGAAAATCAGCATGCTTTAAAAAAAAGAGGTTAAACTCTAAGGAAGGTC